TTACTATTACATACCATTTTAAATAAACTGATAAAACAACTAACACATATAATATACATGCCACTAAAAGCCAAAAGAAACATCAACGATGTCTTACGGATACTGATAGTACAGATGATCTCTAAAAATATTCTCGGGATGCTCTTCACTGCACGTCCTGTTCTTTATCTGAACCTACGCATGAAAATGATCACGAGCTAACTTAGTGAGGCAGTAATAAGCTACGTTGAGATAAAACATAAAAATATCATAAATACGATAAAACATTAAAATTAATTTAAATAAAACATTAAACTTTCAAACCGACTTATTCAAGCCAATTTCTTCGTCGTAAACTTGAAAATTAGTATCATCTCATGATTCTATATAAATCATGATAAACATTATTACATAAAATACCAATATCATAATTCCTTCCAATTTGAAATATTTCATAACTATCATATTTCTATTTCGTAGCACAGTGCATATTTTAGATAATACAAGGTACATGAGTAGAATATAATGTGTGCACTAGGCACTTCACGGTGTCAGTTACAACAATCATCATAAGATACACTCTAAGTGCAAATCATAACATATGCACCAACGGTGGTATTAGTAATGTAAACAAATGTACCATAACTTAACTTGAATTTACTCAACTTAATGGTCTGCAAAATATACCTACGACTCTCAATGCAACATACAATGGGTTTTTAAATCATATCATAACTATTTAATAATCAACACTTGCAAAATCAAAATCATTTTTAATTCATCATCGTAAAAACATAAATTTGGGCAGTTCATACCCTAAATCGTTCATAAAACTTTTGTATAAACATTATGGAAATAATTCCTAATTAAAATTATAAATCATACTTTAAAATAATATGAGGTTGACTTATTGCAAGTCATCCTCAATATAATTAAATAAATAAACTGCACTCACATTTGCCTCACTATCGAACCTTTATATCATACTCCTTACTCGAGTGATTTATCATTTCCTTTCAAATCGTTCATATCGCTAGGTTTATTCATGATCTGACAACGTTATATAATAATATAAAATATTCAAACTATATGTTAGTATCGTACTAACATAATTTAAACTTAATAAATATTTTTTTATCATCCATCCTTCAACTTTTGCCAATTCACAATCAAGGCACAAATTATGAATTCTTTTTAGAATTCATAACTACTTTTCAATTTGATTCATAATGACCTCCACCATTATGATCATTTCATATTAATTACTAAAATTTCCAGCAATTAATAAAATACTCAATTCAATACCTTAGCATTAAAAAACTTGTGATTTATCCTAAATTTTCTCAGACTTTTCGAATTCAACCTTTCACTTTAACAAACTTGCAAATTGATCCTAACCTAATATTTAAACTAAAAAATCAGAACATGAATAAAATTTCTATCATTGAAATATTTTACACAAATTATACCTTTATATTTAATAAACTTGCAATCAAGTCCTAAAACTTCTAGGACTTTTCGAATTCCACCCTCAAACTTTACCAAATTTTCAATATTTCCCCCTAATTTTCCCTTTATGGTCGAATACTACAAGTCATACAGGGCTTGATTTTCATTCAATTTCAAGCATAAATTCAACTTTCTTACATCAAATTCATGATATTCTAATCATCACAACATCAAATTAAATCAAAGTCCATTTATCCTCTAAAACCCTAATTAGGCTGAATGGTATATAAGCACATACACATCATTTTGATCATCACACATGCCTTAGAATTAATCTCCAACATCAAAAACATAATAACCTTTCATCAAATCCTTAAAATCCACAAACCCTACATAAACCCTAATTTTCAATGTCATGAAATAAACATGTTCACCATGTAATATTTATATCAAATGATAAAGAATTTCATGTAGATTAATCTAATAGCTTAATAAAAAATCAAGTATATAGCTTGAAAAATCAAAAATAAAATTTTTACCTCTTGGTTATGGTGTATTCGACCCTATGCTTGAAGATGGCTGAAAATTCTTGAGTTATCATCTAATTAATGCTAAATACACTTGGCTTAACTTAATACAATTGAATTTAAAATTCAATTAATGAGAAATCCCAAAAATGCCATTAATGAAACTTGATAATCACAATATATCATTGCAATATCTTCCATTAAAATATTTCATAGTCAAGGATGAATTAATTTGGCTTTGACTTTCTACTTTGGCCATTAAATTTTTGAAAATTGTATTTAGTCACTAAGTTCCTATTGTTCAACCAAATCGAACAAATTAACTTCAATTCCACTGATTCATGCTAAATTGCACTAATATAAAATATGGAAATAATATTTCCAACTCTTATCTAGCATTATTCAAATTTTCGTGAAATTCTGATTTGATCTGATTATCCGATTTCTATACCAAATTTCATCACTTTATAGATTTTAACACAAATCATGTACCGAAATTTTGATTCCTACAAAAATTCTTGTTTTAGGATAATTTGTTCACTTACGGGATAAAATACATAAGTTTTCAAAAATTATATTTTTGGTCTCTAAACTTTTAAAAGTTTATACTTTAACCAACAAACTTTCAAAACTTATATTTTAATCACTAACCGAAAATTGGGGTTTTACAGCAGGAGTGGATGAGAATTGAGTAGTCGACCGAATGAAACACAAAGGTGATGGTGAAGGAATTTCGTGGATCCATGTTAATCAACTGATGAAGGATTACCCCAATGAATGAAAAATGATAAATCTCTTCGCACTAGGGATCTACGACCTGGTCATCTTCCTAAAGACTTTGGGATACATCGAAGTGACTGTTGTGGAATATTTTGAACAACTACCAAGGAGGGTGAAGCCTGCTCCGGCGATCTTAGCATAAACATTCTGATCACTAAACCATTGTTGAATAGTAGGAGGAGACTATTTCATAGGTTGCATACAGTTGTTGGAAGTTTGGATCCACAACCACTTTTGGAAGACCAATGGGATTTCTTATCGATGATTTGATGACAAGTATTCACCACTGAAAGATTTCCTCGTACAACAGTGGCGGAAAGACACATTTATCTCTACCTTTGTGGTACGTTTATTTGTGTCTTTTGGTAGTTTTTCAGTTTTTGGCCGTTGTTTTCTTTTTTTCTCAGGGTTGGATTTGACATCGCCACGACTGATCAAAATGGCGCTGATTTGTTATCATGTTGATCTTCTATGCTTTGGACGCTCGGATTGATTTGTATACGTGTTTTGCATTCGTGGATGGTTTTCTCACGTCGCTCGACTCTGATTTGTGATTTTTCTGTGGTCTTTCAATAGCTTTATTCTCTTTTGTGGTTCATTTGTCGATTGATCTTTATTTGTTCGAGCTTTTTTTTAGGTTTTTAATATTTTCCTTATTTGGCCCTTATTTGATCTATGTTGCTAGTTTTTATCTAAATGATATTAGGAAAATGTTATAATTGTATTTTAGGTTTATGGTTATGCTTGTAAATCTTTATTGTAATTTTAAATATTTTTTATTTTTAATAAAATTAGCGACTTTCTATCAAAAAAATTAATAATTCTAAAATTAGTATAAATTATATTAGATATCACTGAACTTTAGACGTTGTATTGTTTACATCACTGAACTTTCAAGTTTGTTAATTATAGCATTGACTTTGATTTTTGTTTCAAATATGTCATTAAGCCGTTAAATCGTTAAAATCATATCAAAATGATTGTGTTTTGGTGAAGTGTCTATGTCGACAGTCGTCGGTCATATCATCGTGTCATTAACGATTTAATGGTTTAATTGTATAATTGAAATGAAAATCAAAGTTCGGTGCTATAATTGGTAAAACTGAAAGTTCAGTGTTATAAACGATACAACACCTAAAATATAGTGATATCAAATTTAGTTTACCATTAAAATTATTACAAGTTCGATTGTAATATCACTAATTTAAGAATTTAAACATTATAAACAACTTAAAAATAATACAAAATACTTTAGAACTCTTACATTAGCACGAATCAAATGACTTTTATAGTGGAGGAGTTGTTATTCTTTAAGGTTTAGGGTTCAAGCATCATGATTGTTAAGAACATTTAATGTTAATGATTAAGAATTATCTTTAAATATATATTATTTTATACTTACCCTAAATTAATAAAAAATAAATTAAAACCATTTCTTTTTCGACCTTGATTAACGGATTGCAAAGCAATCATTACCAGCTAACAACCATATCAGTCACAGCAAAAGTTCACCGACCTGTTGTTCTTCTTTTCCCTTTCACCTTCCATTGCCAACCTGTTTTTTCTCATCACCAGCCAATTATAATTTGCCACGTGAATATTGGTCCCACCTAAACCCTCCATAATTATATATTGAAAAAAAAATGATCACTTTATTTTCATATTAATTTAATTGAATTGATTTTGAATTTTTATTATTTTTTTAGTATAAGAAGAATTCCTCCTACTTGAGTTTTGAAGTTTGAAGAGTTTATTAATTTTTTTTAAATGTTTCTATGTAATACTTCAAAATTTCTCATTAATTTAAATCGGATTGTTTTATTAATTATAAATCAAACAACTTTAATGATTAAGAAATTTATTGTTATTTTTTGATGTCTCATATACAAACACAATGTGTTTATCATAAATTTTTCAAAAGGACTATTTTTAAATAAAAAATAGTTGAATAATCAAAACAGAACTAAAACGATAATTAGATGATTAAATACATAGTTTATTCACCAAAAACCTAACGTTTGCGTATAGAGTAAACTGGTTTGGAAGGATAGCCCCATAATGAGCCTTTGTAAAATCCGATCTATATTAGTTAATCAACAGTTATTAATTTAAAAATATATATATAATTTAACCTAAAAATAAATTAAAATCGAATTAAATACTACCTAAAAGGATTACACCCTTTACTTTTCCCCTTTTTTTTAAAGCCTTAACGCAACGTTTAGAAAAACTCTCCAATTGTTAAAAATATTGATTCGTTTATCATTTACAAATTACAAAATGCCTTCCTTTCCGTTTCTCTCAATTATCATCATATTTTTCATGGCGGCCGTCCCACCTCCTCCTTCTTTTGGTTCACAGACGGCTTGTATGGCGGCGGATCCTCCTTTATCGCCTGACATAATTCCCCTTTTACCGTCTCCCGTTGGAGCCTCACCATCTACGACTTACTCTTCCTTGCCCACCACCGTTCCCTCCACCCCATGTCCCCGTAACTCTGGCGACTTAACGTCTTCCGCAGCCGCTCCTGCCGCCTCTGCGCTTCCACTGCCAGCTTCCTCCACGTCTTCTACAGTCTCATTTGGGTCTTCCCGGTTGACGGCGTTTTTAGTTGTGTCAGCTTATTGCTTAATTTAACGCGGGTTTTTTTGTCTGGGTTTTCTTTGCTTGACAATGAGGTGACACACAGTTCCGTGCACCGCAGCGGTGTTGTCGCGTTAGACACACGAAACGACAACAAATTTGGCGTTTAATGTGATTGAAGAATCCATCACACGTTGGTCATGCTTTATTAGACATGTAAATAATGTCGGGTTTGGTTAATTTTGGGTGAGCTTTACCATTTTTGAATTCGAATTTTATCAATTAGAGTGATTTTAATTTCGAATTGAGTTATTTAAAGTTTGAATTATTTAAACTTTTTCATTAATATTAGGGATTGTGTAATTTTGGGTTATCTCATAATTGATATTTAGATTAAATTATTTTGAGTTCGAATCATTTTAAATTTGTATATTTATGATTCGGTCATTATTTTATTTTGAAAACTCTAGTTAAGATCAATTTGGACCGGATTTTTTTGAAAGGCTACATCGAGTTTGATTCAAGTTTAGGTTAAAAAAAGATAACTGATGGAGAGTTCAATGAATGTTTTTCTCCTAAAGCAAATGCCTCAGGACACCATGGAAATGAGACATTTGAGTTCTTACATAAAGTCTAACCGCAACGATGAACAACCAAGCTTTAATGTTGGTTTAAATGTTCCATAAGCAACAAAACCAAACCTAACATTAGGGCAACATCAGGTTTACCATTCGATCCGATGATTCTACGACAACATTTTAGGCGGATTTCTGCTCCACGAGCTTCTGGATCAGATCCGCCGCATCTTGAACGGTGAGGATATGCTGGGCACTTTCTTCTTCCACACTGATTCCGAATTCCTCCTCAAGTCCCATCACAATCTCAACCTGAAAAACAAGAATACATAAATATCATCGAATGTTATTGTAATGCAATCGGAACAAATCCGTCCCTGGGGTAGATGTTGGTTACCGTATCAAGAGAATCAGCTCCAAGTGCAGTAAACTTCGACTCTCCGGTGACTGCAGAATCCTTGGGCAGTGCCAGTTGCTTCCTAACTATGCTACAAACTTTGTCCACAGTCTCGGGTTTAGCCTGAAGCATATCAACATCCCCGTAATGGGTTAAGCACATCGATTTTAATCGAGAAATGCATGTAAAGGCTTCATCATCGCAATGGAATCAATGAAGTATGCACTATGTTACCTGTACTCGAATGTGAATGTTAGATACAAGTATGCTTAATTTTCTTTCCAAATTTTCACATAAACCTAGAGAATCAAATTACCGTACATGTATCCAACTATGTGAAGAACACAAGTATCGGATATGGATACTATAGGCATGGTTAATCCAACCTCTTATTTGGCATTGAACGAATTCGAACTGCTAATCGGTTATATTCACGGATGCAGATAGACAAATCGAGGCAAAAACTGAGCAGGCAAAAGAAAAGAAAACCATACCGCGCATGAAACACGGAGGCGCAGCGATCCGGGCCGCATTCCGCGAGATCGGAGGCTAACTGAGTTGACATTACAGATCCCACGAAGAAGAACCTGCGTAAAAGGAAAATAGAATTGATTAGAATCAACGGAAACCTCTTGCAGAGTATTAGGATGAATGAGTGAGCAAAACTCAACTCGGCCAGAAAAAATAATCGAATTTTTCTAAGAAAACTCGATTAGACTCGAATAAATTAGAAATTTCATAAACTCAACTAGATTTTAAAAAAATCCAAATAAAGTTCGAGTCATAAAATTCAACTGGATCAAATGATGGCAAACTCGGATCGAACTCAAATGAATTTCAATTTAGAGACTCGAGCTATCTCGATTAAGCTCATTTGCCCACGTAAAGAAGGAAGTTGATCATTATCTGGACTTCCAGGTCGATTATTTGTGCATAAACTCCAATTCTAATTGAAAAATTTTCATTAAAGCATTTAAATTTCACAATCGAATCCAAAACCCATAAAAAAAGTTTTAAAACAAAATCTAAAACAAACCCATCAAGGAATCGACATATCTAGCCAAATCAAACTTTAAAAAAAAAAACCAAAAACGTGAAAAAAATGAAGGAAAAAAAACGTAAATAGATGAAGATTGAGAAATAACCTGATTTTGCTTGAAGGAAGATGAAAGAGGGGAGAATTTCGAGGAAAGTCCAGTTGAAGAAGCCATTGAAAGCGGGGTTTAGGTCGATGGAATCACAGGAAAGAGAGGAAGAAGGCGGAGATCACTAAGAATGAGGCCATCTCCGTTTGTTTTGTTTGATTTATAGTGAAGTTGTTGAGATTTATTTGGCAATTTTCCATTTTTGCCCCCCTTTCAATTTCATAGTTTGTATCGAAATAACCCTTTGTCGTCACTCGTCATGCTTGCCTTTACCACTAGGCATAGTTTTAAGGCCAAACTTTGCTATTAGACCTTTCATTTTGAGTAATTTATCTTTTCTTTTTTGTGAATTTTAAAATTTAAATTTTGGTTTAAATCGATACCAACTACAGTTTTAAATTTAAAATTTTATTACGATGAGATTTCTTTTATTAAGTAAAGGTGAATATAAAGTAGTATTTATTCTAGATTTTTTCAGCCATATTGATAATAAAGGTTTAATTACCATATTACTATATTTCTGGCAGAGTTAGGACCAAAAGGAATGAAGTGGAGCAAATACAAATTCGTAATCTGTCCCTTTCAAATCTGAGAAGCATTGATGAAGAAAGAAGAATCCATGCTGATTTAGTTGACTTGGAGATTACTGAATCTGATTTCTTCAGACAGAGAGCCAAAGTTCATTGGCTTAAGGATGGTGATTTGAACACTAAGTTCTTCCACCAGAGAGTCCAATCCAACAAGAAAAGGAACACAATTAGAGTTATCAAAGATGAGGCTGGGCAGACCTATGACTCCTTTGAAGGAATGGCTGCTGAGTTAGTGGGCTACTTTACTAACCTCATTGGCTTCCCTGATCCTTTAGTTAAAGGTTGTTCAGCTGGTAATCTTAGAAATCTGCTGAACTATTCTTTACCTGAGGATACTGCTACATATCTAATCAAGGAGGTAATTGATATTGAGATTAAAGAAGCCCTGTTTAGGCAGGGAAGGGACAAAAGCCCAGGTCCTGATGGGTTCATTGCTGGCTTCTTCAAAGCTGCCTGGGATATTGTTGGTAGTGATTTCATTGCTGTTGTAAGGTACTTCTTCCAAACTTCTTGTTTGCTGCCTGCATTTAATGCCACTGCATTAGTTCTGGTCCTTAAGTCCTTAAATGCATGTTTGGCTAAGGAATTTATGCCTATCTCTTGTTGTTTAGTGGTCTACAAAACCATCACTAGAATACTTGTTAATAGGCTTACTCCTTACTTCTATGGTATGATTTCCCACAATCAGTCTGTCTTTGTCAAAGGAAGGAATATAGTTGATAATACTTTCTTAGCTCAGGAGGTAGTGAAAGGATACTCTAGGAAGAGTCTTTCGCCTAGATGTGCAATCAAGATTGACTTGCAGAAGGCTTTTGATTCTGTCAGTTGGTTCTTTTTGTATTCTGTTCTTGAGGCTATAGGGATTCCCTCTGTGTTCTGTAATTGGATCAAAGTTTGTATTTCTACCCCTATGTACTCTGTTTGTTTGAATGGTAGCTTGGTGGGCTTCTTTAAGGGTGCAAGGGGTGTTAGAAAAGGGGATTCGTTATCCCCTTATCTCTTCGTCATTGTGATGAATGTACTGTCCTCTCTTTTGAATGCTGCTGCCAGACAGAGAATTTTCAGATTTCATCCTAAATGTAAGAGGCTCTCCCTCACTCATCTTTTCTTTGCGGATGACTTACTAGTGTTCTGTCATGGCCCCCTTGAATCTATTATGGGTGTTCTGAGCACCTTGGAGAGTTTTTATGAATTATCTGGTCTTAAGTTGAATGCAATGAAGACTAAACTTTATGCTTGTGGTTTGAATGATAATTTGCTTAATCGGATTCAGTCGGCTACTGGGTTTAGGGTGGCTCATCTCTCAGTTAGGTACCTCGGGGTACCCCTGGTTACTCGTAAACTCACTAGTAAGGACTGTGTTGCTCTTTTAGAGAGAATTAAAGGCAAGCTTAGTCAATGGTCCACTAAGAAACTTAGCTTTGGCGGAAGATTACAACTTGTTAAGACTGTTCTTTTCAGTATCTTTAACTACTGGAGCAGACAACTCATCCTCCCTAAAGGGATTATTATGGACATAGAGAAGATTTGTATGCGTTTTTTCTAGAAAGGCTGTGACTCCCCTACTAGAGGAGCTCATGTGGGCTGGAGTCAGATCTGTTCATTGAAATCAGAGGGGGGCCTGGGGCTTAGGGACCTTGTTCTCTGGAATAAAACATGTTGCTTGTTGCTTATTAAAAACATTCTGGCTAATAATGGTTCTCTTTGGATTGCATGGCTTCGTGAGTATTGCTTTAAAAAAGTGAGCTTCTGGGATATTGATTGTAAAAGCCACTTCAACTGGATTATGAAGAAGCTGTTGAGGCTAAGAGATGAGGTCAGGAGATTGTTTCCTCCTGGTACTGTCTGGGGCCAAATTAAAGGCAGATGGATTTGGGATAACACTAGAGTCAGTAGGGGAAGGTTAACTGACACAGAATCGTTTGGTTCCCTAGTCATATTCCCAAGTTTTCCCTTATCCAGTGGATGGTCTTCCTCAACAGATTGCCAACTAAAGATAGGTTGGCTCGTTTTGGTTTGATTTTGGAAACTGATTATGCTGTGTGTGGCTCTGATCTGGAATCCCGGGACCATCTCTTCACAGGCTGTTTCTTTGCTAAGGAAGTTTGGAGATCTATTTCAGCTTCATGTGGGATCTGCTATGACATGCAAAACTGGGATGAATATCTTAACTGGTTGGTCGTGAACTTGAAAGGTAAATCCCTCCGGGTGCAAATTCTCAAGCTTGCTTGGTCTGGTTTCCTATATTACATTTGGGAGGAGCGTAATCATAAGTGCTTTAGAGGATATACTCGTTCTGCTGATACAATTGTGTATAAGATTAAAGAGGCTGTAAAAATCAAGTTACATAGGAATTACATACATAGGATCGATGATGCAAATAGGTTTTTGTTCACTAATTGGGGTCTGATCTAGTACGTTATTTGTATTCTTTGTAGCAGCTATGCTGCTTTCTTTCGGATGAAATATAAGTTACTTATCCAAAAAATATAATTATTGGTGTTAGAACTCAAAATCTCTAAGAATAACATAATCATATCGTTAACTACCGACATAATTTGGGTTGTGCTCAACCACTTGACAATGAACGCACAATCACCCTGTTACAATCGTTAGTACTCGAACCCATAACCTCTAAGATCATCAACAATTCCTTTAACCACTGAGGTAAATTTGATTTGTGCACCATACAAGCAAAATTACCACTTATAAATATAAATATTAATAATAAAATTTGATATAATGTACGTAACCATTATCATTATGGTCAAGATTTAAATTTTAAAAAATAATTAAGTTTTAAAAATAAAATAAAATAAAATTTATAATTTATAATTTATAATTTAAAAAAATAAAAAAAAGACTTTAGGGTTATTTTTGCTCCTATAGTAGATTTAATTTATCATTTACACTCTTATCGTATTTTCGCATCAATTTAACCTCGAAGTTATTTAAGTTATTTAATTGCATCAATGTTTAAAATATTTACTATTACTTAAAGCTTGAGTTAGGATTTAGGGGTTGTGTTTATGATTTTATGGTTTAAGGGTTAGATTTAGAGTTTATGGTTCATGATTTAAAGTTTTAAGTTAGGTTTAGACTTTAGGATTTAGGATGATGCAATTAAACAACTTTAAGGGGTAAATTAATAAGAAAATACGATATGACCAAACATAATAAATTGAGTCTACTACTGAGGGAAAAGTGATCCTTAAAATATAAAAACTAATAAAAAAATTCGAGTATGGAATTTATTTTTCTTAAATAAATAATATTTTGATAGTTCAATTTTTTAATAAGATTGTATTTATAATATATGTAAAATTTTGAAATAAATATTATAAATTCTGAGAGATAATAATTTAGTAATCCATTGCAAATAGAAAAATGAAAATAAAAACATATTTTTTTTGGTACTAAAATGTTTAGGTCGGGTGGCTCCCCCAGTCCAGGATCAGAACATACCTAAGACTCAATTGAGATTTACATAGGACTTTACAGATTGCCCACCAAGAGTGACGGTGGTGGGATTCAAACTTGACCTTATAAGCTCAAATTCGTGAATCTTAACCACTTGTGGCAACACTTCGTTGGCAATAAAAACATATAATTAACTATAAAATAGTTGATGGAAAAAATTGTGAACAAAAAGTAAGAGAAAAATTCATTATAATCTATGAAAATATGGCAATAGATGCAAAAGGCATATTTAATTAAAAGATCTCCTAATATAACAAAATATTAGACACGCTCACAAATTCAGTGATCTTAGTGACTAATAGATTTATTATTATCTAAAGAAGTTTCGAATTCAGACATTACATATATATAAAATATGAGCATTCATTTGTTAGAAGATTAAAAGTTTTTAAACAAATACTATTTTATATTCACTTCAGATTTTATATATAAAAACATTAAACAAATATTTTGATAAAATAAACTTTTAAGTACCTAAAGTCAATAAAAATCATAACCTAAACACTTATTTACAATTAAATCAAAATATTAATAAAAAATGACATTTTGAAATGACACTATCATTATTTAAATATCGAGTAATCAAAAAAATTCTAACCGTTTTTTTCTTCTTTTTTTTTTTTATAGTTTGTGTCAATTTTATTGGTCAATCAAACTTTTTCTTCTTTAATTTTGTTTAAGTGACGGCGTCATCAGTTTTGATACTGGTTGCCGCTCGTCAGCTATCTTTTTTTCTTTGTTTTTTTAATTTTTTAATAAGAATAATTATATTTTATGACATGTTCTCTGTCTTTATGACACATTTATCTCCGCCTTTGTGGCACGTTTTTCTCTGCCTTTTAGTAGTTTACGGTTTTTTGTCATTGTTTACGTTTATCTTTTTTCATAGGGTTGAATTATACATCACCACGACTGATCATGATTGCGCTTTTTTATTATCATGTTAATCTTCATTGTTTTGGACCATCAGATTGATTTACATATGCGTTTTGTGCACGTCGTTTGACTCTGATATACGATTTATCGGTAGTCTTTCAATAATTTTATCCCCTTTTATAATTCGTTTACCGATGCAATTAGATTTTTTTCATATCTTTATTTTATTCGAACATTGATTAAGTTTTTTAACCTTTTCCTTTTATGTTTCTTGTGTGATCTAAGTGACTAGTTTTTGTTAATGATTATAAGAAAATGTCCTAATTATAATTTAGTTTACGTTTACCGTTATACTCATAAATCTTCATTATAATACCATATATTTTTTAATTTTAATAAAATTATCGGATTTATATCCAAAAAAAAAATAACATTTTGAAATTAAAAAGTTAGTTGAGTGGATTGAGCCAGACCTAGTAGGTCACGACCCAGTGTATGAACACATCCTTTCCATTAATATTAGGTCGACCCGGTCCATGAACACTTGGTTCTAAATCAATATTTTTACCAGGTCTACCTAGTAATGTCAAATTTTATATTTGCCACTAGTCCATATCAACTATAGTTAAGAGTAATCATTACAATTCTGCATACCAAATTCCACAAATAAAACTGTTGAAGGTCAAGTTGACTTATATATTTATATATGAACAAAGGAAAAACATCTGAGCTGAGAGGAAGAAGCAAATTGACGATGGGAAAACGTTGTTGCCCGGACGAATCAGATGATGACCTGAATCTCACTGGATTTCTCATTGTCCTGATCATCGTGATTTTGTTTATGGCCCTCTGCAGCCCTCGGCTACGAACAACTGTTTCTGCCGTCTACCGTTGCCGATGAACACTTCGGTTCCAAAAAACGAAGATAAATATATCATTTGTATGAATCTACCAGCTATTTGTTTAATTTTCAGGGAAAATTTTCTGTTCGGATTCAACCTACTGTCTGCGCATGTTTGCAGTATTCTCTATCTTGTAATTTTCAGCTTTGCTTGCAAATCACAGATTCTAGAAAATTTTATTTATTCGTATTCTACAAATCGAGAGATGACCCTCTAAGGATACTCGAACATCACAGAAAGCTTACAAATACTAATGAAACCTGCGTTAAAGGCATATCTGTATCGGATACTTATACTCGAACTCGAGTCCCATAAGATAGAATTATACTATTATGAAATGAACACTATACGTACATCACCTGAAAGTAGTCCGGCTGCCTAAAATCACGATCATGTTGAGTTTTGGCTACACTGGAGATTGCTTGTGGAATAATTAACAATGGATATCTGAACTGTTGTCAAAAGCTCGTGAGTAGTTTCTGGTTCAAGGACCGCCAGCACCTCCTCGTCTTTTGCCATTGCAAGATCTTCAAGGGAGACACAACGGGAATGAGAATCATTTCGGATGCGGAAGCCATAGAACCATCTCCCGGGCTTCCACCATTGGACACAAACTTGACGTTCAGCTATCTTATTGTTCCGAAGAGCTTCCACGATACGAAAAGCCTATAAACTTATGGTGTTAAAATTGGAGGTGAGTAAAATGGATGCATATTCAACACAAGTGTACAAAGTTTTCTAAGGAGTTCTATATATATAGGTGCCCGGCAGCAGAAGCGTAATAAGCAAGGCCAAACACATTGATACAAAAAAAATATCGAAAAATATGGAGTTACAGATCGGTTTAGCTTTTCGATCCATACCAACTTACATTCAATCATTTAATCACGTGTTATCGTCATCGAATAAAAGAAGTTTCTGATCCACTAGTTATCGAAGGATTTAATTCTTCAAAGCTTATTCAATATACTTAAACCAAAGATTCTTATAAACAATCAATTAAAAACTTAGGCCCAGATTTCACTAGAACACAATGTTCTTGGTTTTAACAGTTAAAGGATACGGAAAAAACACTATCTCAACGAAACAAAATAAACAGAAAAAGTTACCGGCACTTTGAGGATGTTAAGGCAGTAATGTAGTCCGATCAAGTTAAGCAGAACATTCAGCGTTGGTCTCAAGAGCAGCATTTGAGCATCTTTGAACCCATACTGCATCGTTTTCAGGCATTCAATTGCTTGCAAATAGTCGAGAATCTCAAGTGACTCGGATTGTGAGCAATGTTCCACCACGTTAACAACAGATGCAACCTGAGCCTTCTTCTCTTCGTGCTGCTTTATGTAGAATCCCCGCCAATCCTATCATCAATTTTCCATGAATTTCAAATCAATACTAAGGAATTGAATTACCAATTAGTCTACAGTACTAACATGTTCGGTACAAGGGGGAAAAAGGGAAATTTACTTTCTTTACCTCAACAATTTAGGATTGTATCTCGATCCTCATCTTCAAAACATTTTAATCAAATCCTCAACATATCAATATTTTATCAATTGGATATTATATGCTAGCTCGTATCTAACATAGATCATACTTAAAGCATATGATCAAAACTTAAAAATGTATCAATTGGATGGAAAAATTAATGTCATGCTTGTTAAATATATTTTATGTCAAATCCGAGCTCGCATTTAATTCTCAAGCTAATGATTAGACTGATAGAAGACCTAATCGATATGATGCAACTATACAAATACTTTGAGGACTCAATTAGATATTTTGACGTATTTCATTTCAAAGCAATGAAACAAAAGCAATTAACCGAAATCAATCGACATACAAGAAACCAAAGATCAATACGCCATATAATTCATTCATATTTATATTTGATGTGTAGATTTCTATACACTATAGATGAACTAAACAATTAAGTATCACTAAATCTATTATAATAATGCGGGTGATAATCTTATTCACCGATGGTGCATTGAATAACATACCACCATATCAGTATTTAACTCGTAAACAATTACGAGTCACTAAATCTTTTCTAATAACATGCGTGATCATCTTGTTCACCGATGGTTCATAAAACTATGCCAGTCCATATCGGTATTTCACTAATACACAATTACATATCACTAAATCTATTCTAACAAATCATCTTATTCACTGAAGGTGCATAAAATAATATACCGTCGTATCGGTATTTCACTCGTAAACAATTCCGTATCACTAAATATATTCTAATAGCATGCGTGATCATCTCGTTCACAGATGGTTCATAAAACTATGTCAGTCCATATCGGTATTTTACTAATACACAATTACATATCACTAAATCTATTCTAACAACGCGAGTGATCATCTTATTCACTGATAGTGAATACAATTATATATTGTCAGTCGATATCGATATTTCACTCACAAAAAAGTAAAAGCAACCAAACAAAAATCACAACCTTGAAGTTTGGGTCTTTCACAGTTTCATACAAAAGACTCCATCTTTCTTTGACGAGTGATTCCCACAAACAATCCGACCCGCATATCTCTCGCCAAACCCGAGAGCAGCAACTCAAGGAGGAAAGATCCGGTACCTAAAAGCCCGAACACCCGATAAAATCAAACTATACCCAGAAAGAAAACAAAAACAAAAGAGAAGAGTGAAACGAGAGCAAGCAAACCTCAAGCGAAGAAGCAATTCTGAGAGCTACGTCGTTTGGGAGTGAGCTGTATGAGTACTCTGATTGATTCATGGTTTCTATTTTTTTTTTGCTGATTACTGGATTTTTGGAGTGGAAATTTGGGGTTTTGTCTGGAAATTTTGGAGATCAGAAACTTGGGTTGATGTCGATTTTTTGCAACGTGGGGGAGTTTGGCTGTCTGTTTTGGGATCTGTTGTGGTTTGTGAGTTTACAGGTGGAAGGTTGTGATTTAAAGTCAGAACTGCGCCGTTTTAGCTTCTTGACATTTTCCCTCGACCCATTGGGCTTTTTCGGGTCAGAATCATGGGGTTGCTAATGAACGGAGTAAAGATCCATTTTGGTACCTAGATTTGGTTTTAAAGTTCAATTTTTTTACTTGAGCAATTAGATAGTTTAATTTGATACCTAAAATGTTTTTTAGTCCAATAATATATATAAACAAAAATTTAGATCAGAGGTGGCTCCCAATCCTGGGCCAGAGCATATTTAATATCCAATTGAGATTTACATATGAATTTATAGATTATCTATTAAGAGTAATGGTGGTTGAAAGTAAATGATAAACTCAGCTATCAGTGATAAACTGTAAAGGAACGAGATAACCAAAACAGAAGGAAGAGAACGACGTTTTACTGAAATGAATTGTATATCAGAAATGAATACAATATTTTGAGAAATACAAAAAATGCTTAACTTGGGTTATTAATAGTGGACAAGCCCACTATATATACAACTAAGGCTAACCAACTAATCCAACTGAATGACCCAACTGACTATAATTCAGTTACAATAGATTAACTAAAACAGTTACAGCTACTAACAACTATATAATACTCTAATAATGGTAAGATTCGAACTTGACCTTACAAACTTAAATTCCTAAATCTCAACCACTTATGCCAACACTCGTTGGCTTTAATTCAATTAAACAGTTAAACTTGAGTTGTTTAATTTAAAAGGATTCAAATTAGTTATTTACCATAAGTATTGATATGTAATAAATGTTTTTAATGCTTATTTGCAATTCACTTTTAGATGTCTTTTAATTCTGTTTTAGATAGAATTAAATTGTGTTTTAGAAATGATGTACTGTACTCACTATTTAAGCTATAAGTAGTGGGTACTTTTTTCATATCATTCAAAAGGCAATTGGTGTTTGTTTTGAAACACTCTTTGAAACTTTTCCTCGAGTGTTGTTTTGAGTTGAGAGTAGATACTACCATCAAAGTTCACTCTATCTTTTGTGTGTACGAAATTTGGAGAGTTGTACTAAGGTCGGAGGCATTCATTCATTATAACGATTACACACATCGTAATAAATTCGTTTCTAAGGCAGTAGTTAACACCAAGGGATGATTATCGTTTTGATCGGTTATTTTATAAAATATTTTTCAATCAATGCTAATGTCTTATTTTGCTACATCAAATATTGGTAAATTCTCAACAAAATTACAACGATGGGAAACCCTACTTAAAATCACGCTGCTGCTGTTGTATCGCTACCGTCAGGGCAGCAGGGTGGCCTTCCATTAGATGGGTTGGTTATCCTGGATAGTCTGACGTATCTCGAGCGCCCTGGATCACCCTTGGCTAACGATGACCACATATTATCGAAGAAAGATCGTAACGATGATAATCAGGGGGAGGGAGGTTTGTCTCCTCTTGTACCGGTTGTGGATGGATCCGATATTTTGATGGAAGAAGTGGCAGCCTTGGAGTCAATCTGGATGGCAGTACAACGAGAGATAGATAGTAATTCCTGAACTTGCAAGGTCGGAGGTTGGAGCGAATTCTAGAAATACCCCCTATCAAACCTTTGTTTTGTGATATGTTAAGGGGCACACTAATGAAAAAGATTTGTCACCTTGCCACTCGAAGCAACAATTCTGGAGTTATCATGTTGTTGCGGGGCCATAACAGCTCTACTGTTGGAACGGATTGTTGTCTTCTTTTTTTGCTTAAACTCCCATTTTTGCTGGATTCAGCATGAACACTAAGGATGTTAGTGTTCATGCTGAATCCAACAAAAATGAGAGTATGAAGAAAAAAATGAAGACAACAATCCGTTCCAACAGTAGAGCTGTTATGGCCCTGCAGCAACATGATAACTCCAGAATAGTCGCTTCGAGTGGCAAGGTGACAAATGTGGTGTCGTCACTGAACAAGGATAAGCATGTGGCTGTCCAAGTGGATGGGAATGATGAAAACCAAATCCCTTGGGATCATAATACTCGCATTTCACTGGCATCCGAGAAAGGAAATTTGGGGGGGGGGGGGAGGTCTCAAAGGGATAGTTAGTGGGAAGGTTCTACCCAGGGTAGGGGTTAAATTAAAAAAAGGAGCAGATAAAGCTCCTAATAAACAAGAGTTGACTGAATGGGTTTCATTTATGACTTCGAAGTTAGATAATACTCATGTTCGGTTCTGAACCCACCCCCTCCACGTTCGGTGAATAACGACTCAATCAGATGGCATGAGAATACAGTGTTTGATCAGTTTGCTTTGATTGATATGCAGGTTTAAGCTTACAGACTCCATATTTTTACTCGTTTTCATGGTTATAGTTATATTTTGGAATGTCCAGGGGGCACTTAACCCCTTTATTAATCGTTACTTTAAGCTTTTGGTGAAGATGCAGAATCCAGATATTGTGGCATTATTCGAGCCAAGAGTCAGTGGCCAAGTAAAGGATAATTTTATGCATCATTTGGGGTTTGGGTTCTCTTACAGAGTCGAGGTGAGAGGTTTTTCTGGGGGAATTTGGCTGCTATGGAGAAATTCAGTACAACTCAATATTCTCGCTGTTTCAAGTCAGTTTATCCATGCTATCTATTCTAGTGATCATGGGGAACATAGTTTCTTTGTTACGTTAGTTTACGCCAGCCCGGAAAGGTGTACGAGGAACCGTCTTTGGAGCCAGCTGAAGACCCTCAAACCAGTCAATGAGTGGTCGTGGGTACTAGGCGGGGATTTCAATGCCATCAGTTGTTGCGATGAACGCAAAAAGGTTCACAAAGGCGAAACAGAGTTTCTCAGAAGTCTAGCGAGTCCATTTTTTAGTCCAGATAGATTGACATGGGATATAGTGGGCCTCAATTTACATGGAGCTTTGGTAATTTGCATCAGAGATTAGATATATGTCTTTGTAATTCAGTGTGGTTTGAGAATTTCGATCGCTCGGTGGTTCATTATTTGCAGAAGTTGGGTTCGAATAATTGGCCTTTATTGCTGGATACGGAGGACAATTGTAGAGTCAAGCATAATCATCATTTCCTGTATATCGTTGCATGGAATGAGCATTTGGACATCCCAAATCTCCTCAATCACTCGGGTGAAGTTGGTTGTAGCATTCAAGATTGTATTTCTAAGTTTCAAAACTTGAGTCGAAATTGGAGTATGAAAGTTTTCGGACATATAGGCAGACACAAAATGCTCATTCTTGTGCACTTTCGGGGGGGGGGGGGGTGGGGGTGGAAAAGGCTCTGGAAAGAGCGGATAACCCTTATCTACAGGAACTTGAAGCGGATCTTAAAAAGATTTGGATTTGGTACTAGCTCAAGAGGAGAGCCTTTGGCACCAGAAAGCGAGAAATGGTTGGATTTCGAAGGGTGATCGGAATACTAAGGATTGCTCGTCGGAAGCATAATATGCTTACTTTGTTGAAGCTGCCGAACGGTTCATGGTGTAATGAGCAGAATACTCTCAAGAAACATGCGATTGAGTTCTTCAAGAGTTTTTTTTCCCACTAAACCGCACAACTCTATTATTTCAGGTACGCCGAATTATTTTCACCAATTTAGTGGAGCTGAGCTGTAATCATGGCTGGCAGACATTTCGAATGAGGAAGTTTGACAAATAGTTTTCAGTATAGATTCGTTGAAAGCCCCAGGGATGGATGGACTTCATGTGGCATTTTCTCAAAGGAATTAGAATGTCGTGGGCTATCGATTGTTCAATTTATAAGGGAATTTTTTGATGACGGTATTCTAGATGAAAGGTGAATGAAACTTTGATGGTGCTTATCCCGAAGGTTAATAATCCTGAATCAATCACTCAATTTCGGCCTATTAGCTCGTGTAATGTATTATACAAGATTATTACAAAGATCATGGTGTGTATGTTGCGTGTTGTGAGTTCTATAAATTATATATAAATGATGTGCAAATATACACAATCACAATAAGTAATAAAATGATGAGTAAGTATCGTCTCCACAGGGATTGGTAGAAATTATGAACATGACCATATCACTCCACTAATTTATCTAAGTATAGAAATGATATGTACATTGATGATGCTTTAGAAATGGAGATGGGGATGTGATAGAGTGAACAATGTCGTGGCGAAAGAACAATTTATAAGGATGAAAATGATGAAAATGTCGAGGCAATGTAAAATAGTAAAAACAACAATTAAATGAATAGTTCGATAATCCTCACATGGGAAACTACTTCGGAAATGAATGGTGGGGAGACACTTAAAGAGCTTAAAACTTATCTCTCTAAATGATCTATTATTCTAAAGCTTTACTTGTTCGACGTAGTTTTCTAAAAGTGTTCTCGCTATCTATAGTCATAAGAACCTAACAGAATAGAATACCACAGTATCTCCTTTCAGTCTCAACTATGGCAACCTACACTATTGATAACACACTACCCCTCTTAGTCGTTGAGATCTTAGCTTAGTCTCTCTCAAGTTCTAAGAGATTAGGTTATAGTGATTAACTATACCCCATTGCTTATGTTAATCTCATTTAAGTTTCTCTCAAACACTTAAGAATTAGTGACTAGATTTCTCTCGAACATCTAACCTTCATCGAAGAAATGGACACTCTCATGCCTCCTACAATCATAGAAGATGAAGCAGATGAAGCAAACATAAACAAAACAAGTAAAAACAAAAGATAAACATTCATCAACCATTAAAATAAAGTTTTCAAGCATCAATCAAATGAACCCCACCAAATATAGTTTAGTTCATGGTGGAGTTCGAATAAATCATAGAGTATACTCAATCGTTCATTCGATCTTACAACCCAAATAAGATTTCAAGCTTTAACAATGGAGAAAAGGCTGGAGAAGAAAACACTAGGTGTGCATGGCCAACACTTCCCTCAAACCACCACGAATGGCTATAGCGTGAGCTCATCTCAGATGCTATGCTACTCCCTCGAGCTTCACCAATGGA